TCATATATTTTATTTTCATTTCTTATTATAATCTTGTATATTTTATTTTTATTTATTTAATATATTTTTATATTATATATTTTATTTTAATTTCGTTTATCTATATTATGTAAATTTTAATTCTTTATATTTTATTTTATTATATTTTTTATTTTTATATTATATATTTTATTTTTATATTTTTTATTTTAATTATAACATTACAAAATATTTTAAATAAGGTAACAAAGTTGAAGGGTAAAAATATCTTTAAAAGTATTGTAGAGTGCAATATAATGTTATTGTATTAGTTTTGAATTGTAATCACATTACATCTTTTGATTATAATATGATTATATTGCAATCTTATATTATAGTAGTCTATTAAAAATAAATATTACAATGTAATTAAATTAAGTATATTACAAAGAATGTGCTATCATTTTCTTCATGCCAAACACTACCTATATATATTTAGTGAATTATAAAAGTTTATATGTAAAACACTTTGATCAATGTAGATGATTACTGCCATAAGCCAATCAATTTAATAAAATTGCCTTCCTTTATGTTTATCATTATGTTTAATGCAATATTATGTAAAGGCTTTCAACCTTAGAAAATAATTGTTTATGCACATATTATATCAATTGCTATCAAACAAAAATAATGCTCTATTATTTCCCTCATCTCCTCGGAAGGTGAAATTTACCCGAACACAATTGTGCGGGTCATTCTCTAGGGTATATAGCCTGGGCCATCTCGTGACTTTGGATTGTGCTGGCCTGGGAACTTGCACTTCTGTTTTGTCCATTACGAATTAAGCTCGTGACTCTGGATTCTGCTGGCCTGGAAACTTTTCAGTTCTGTCGTCCATTTCGATTTGGCCCTGGGCACGTCTCATTTTAACATGCCAACACCTAAAGAGAGAGGCAAGTTTCGCATCAATGGAAGAAAAAAAGATAGCTGTAGCAGTAGGAGTAAGAGTTATGAAAACAACTTGGCTTTTTGTGCAGAAAAATCTTTCAAGATTGGCAGGTTATCAAGCAGATGTGGGCAAATACCGGAAATACTAATTAGCATCATTTACGACCATTTTCATAAATTTTAGTGCATCATACTTAAAGCCACGTGTTTTCCGTGTTCAAGATTACTATTAAGTTCTTGAGATGGTTAAATTCATAGTCTTTATATGTCCGCTAGAGACTTTGTTTTTTGAACGTACGTAGTAGAACATAAATTCAGGTTTTTTGAACGTACATAGTAGAACATAAATTCACCTGAGCTTCAGCAAGTAATTGGATTGACAAATTGCTTCAAAACCAACATGGGAGGCATTCGCTACATCTCGAGTACTATTGTCCAGGCGGCAAATCAGAAGGGAAAGACTGACAGGGTTGAGTTAACTCCATGGGATCTTCAGCTCCTTCTTGTTGGCTCCATCCAGAAAGGACTTCTTTTCCCTAAGCCTAAACAGCCACAAGAGAAACAAGCAGGAAATTACACCCAGATCATCCACCACTTGAACACCTCTCTTTCCCACACATTAGAGTACTTTCCGCCTCTTTCAGGTCGCTTAGCCTCCACCGAGCATGACGATGACACTATTTCTTTTTTCATCGATTGTAACAACGCCGGAGCCCTGTTTGTCCATGCTGCAGCTGATGGAGTAACTATTTCTGATATTCTCGAACCTGGCGGCTATGTTCCTCATATCGTGCACTCGTTTTTCCCACTAAATGGAGTCAAAAACTATGAAGGTACTTTCCAACCATTACTGGCAGTGCAGGTGACACAGTTAGTGGATGGCATTTTTATTGGTTGCACAATCAATCATATGGTGGTTGACGGTACTTCATTTTGGAATTTTTTCAACTTTTGGGCTGAAATTTCTCGAGGTTCCTTTCACTTATCAAAGCCTCCCGTTCTTCAACGTTGGTTTCTTGACGGTACTGATCACCCTATTCATATTCCTCAATCTCATGTCAAGCAAATCCAAGAAGAATTATTCACTCGACCACCTTTGCGAGAAAGAGTCTTTCATTTCACAAAGGAAAATATTGCGAAGCTCAAAGCAGATGCAAATGCGGAGGCTGGTACCGACAAAATCTCCTCTCTTCAAGCTCTCTTGTCACATATTTGGCAATCCGTTATTCGCAACAAAACTTTGGACCCTAACGAAGAGATCAACTACCGAATGCTTGTTGGTGCTAGACCAAGATTGAACGAGCTCCCTGAGCAATATTTTGGGAATGCAGTGCAGGCTGGGAGTATCACTATGAAAGTGAAAGAGCTGCTAGAACAAGGACTTGGTAATGTTGCATGGGAAATGAACAGGTTGGTTGCGACACAGACCGTAGAGAAGTTGAAGAAGTTCCTAGAGGATTGGACAGCAAGTCCTAAGCTGATGAGCATGGGCAGTATGACAAGTAATGCCTTGGTCACGAGTAGTTCCCCTTGGTTCAACATTTATGGTAATGATTTTGGATGGGGAAGGCCAGTTGCAGTAAGAAGCGGGTGTGGAAACAAGCACGATGGGAAGATAACAGTGTTTCGTGGAGTGGAAGAAGGCAGTATTGACGTTGAAGCATGCCTTTGTCCTGATACATTGGAGGCCATGGCAAATGATGAAGAGTTCATGGAGGCTGTCACTTTATCTCTCTAGTTAATCTTGGATCAAAACCCTGTCACGCGTTACTGTTCGATGTTTGTTGTAGTAACGATGGAATGGTATAGCTTTTCTGTTGGCTGTCGTTTAATTTCCTAAAACGAACGCATGAATAAAAATTGTTGTTCAATGTACTAAGTATGTTTTCAATAAAACCATTAATTAATTGATGAAGCTCCTTAAGAGAGAGAGAGAGAGAAGAAATAGAAGAATGAAATCTTTCTTCTTATTTTTATATTCTTTTAATATTGTGTAACCAATAATGGACTAAAAACATGTTTTGTAGAGGCATGCCGAAAGGGTGCATGTCTAAATTAAAGCAAAGCAAGGCAAGAGTGTTGTCTTAATTCTTTATTTATCTGCAAAATCCTATAAAATCATTCGATGTTCCGGCAAATTTGTTGTGTCTCTGGAATATACCAGCGGCGAGGGATTCTTCAAAATATTGGTCAGTAAGCAAGCAAATATCTGCACATTTGAGGCTGACGACACCCATACGGCTCTTGGGGCCGCTGGGGCATGCGATCACTTTATGATCGTCCTGCGACGTGGTGAAAAGAAAGCATAAATTTTTGTCATGTTTCGCATTATTACATATACATACACACAAAATTGCGGGGAGAACTTGCTCATCGAAAGCTTTATCTTTTCAGATAAATTGTGACTACCATCAGTACATCAAGCCAAGGATTCGCTAAACACAAGCCTCCTTTTATAATCAATGGAATTGATATTTTTCAGGAGTGATTGGTTTTTCATTTTGTATCAAGACCTATAATATAGTATACATAATTCTCTTAAATTAACTTTTTTTTTGTATTTCCGACCTTTATATACATATTCACGGAAATTATTAAATGTTTATAAATTTTTTATTATTAAACCTATATTACTTAATGAATAGTATGATAGTCGAAAGCCTGACAAAATATTAACATTAATACTCATATTCCACATTATACCATTTGCTTCTTTTTTTTTTTTTTTAATTTTTATGTAAGGTGGATAGAATATTAGGCATCTATCTTTTCAATTCTCTTCAAGCTGCGTATATATTGCATCTACGATATTAATAAACCTTTGCTGTTTGGAAAAGCTACGTTGTCTGTTATAGGCAAATAAAACAATAAAATATCAAAAAAGGACCTATGAAATTTCGACAGCCACAACTTATTTGTGCAATTTGGCGTTTTACAATTGCAAAATACATATCTTACTTGCGTTTTCAGTTCTGCGAAAAACTCCTTGTCTTATCGACATTGGACAGACATTGAGAAAACAAAAACATGCATGTCAGTATAAGAGGATTATCTTGTCATTTATCCATTTAGCCAAATATCTGTTATTTAATTTATTTGTAATTTATTAAAATGTGGCAAATCCTAAATCCAAATATATGCAAATAATTTGTTAATTGCTTCATAGAGGTTAATGAATATTCATACTAAATACTATATTATGTGCCTATGTTATGTCATCAGACTCAAAAAAATTTGATTTATTAAAACTAATATTAATTGTATTTTTTTTTAAATTTTCGATAACAGGGTTTGAACTTTTTTTTTGAATGAAAATATACATCATTAAATCAAATGTTCAAATGTTTAATAACAATTAATTAAAATGTGAACTAAACATAGTTTTATTTTCTTTTAAAATTCTAAAAACATAAGTTAAAAGAATTCCTTCTTACAAATCAAACTTAAAAGGTTATTTTTATAAGTTCATTAATTTCTTTCTTCTCTGTCCTTTGCCTGACTAGTAGAACAAAAATGAAACATGAACTCTTTGGATGATAGCAGAATGCAATCATTTAGATGCTTCGTTATCCCTTGCTAGAATGCCTAGATATCCTAGTCATGCATGTACTGTACTTCAATAAGGCAGTTACATCAAGCGTGAGATTTCTTCGGGGGTAAGAAAGAAGCTTATCCAATCTGCTGATCGATTGTTGCCCGTAATATGAGCTGATTAAGACTTAACAAAAATCGGCTCTTAGGGCTATACATCGCCAGGTTTAGAGTTGCTGAAGAAAAGAGAAAACTGGTTTTCCACATCATTTTATTGATTACTTTATTGAATTTTTGTGGCATTCAAAAGGCTAAGAAGATTAGATACGGAAGGGAACAAAAACGAAATTGATAGCTGGTACTAGTGTTCCATTCGAGGCACACTTTTTGTTTTTTCTCCTTTAAGGTCAAAGAAATGTTTTTTTTTTATTAAAATGAGTCATTATGTCATTTAAAATCTCTAAAAGAAATATTAATATACTTAATCATTTTTATAGGACACGATAATAAAATATTCATACAACACAATATTAAAAATTTTTGAGTTTGATATAATCATGTTTCATGTTTTAAAATGAAATTGATAGTTAGCTTTGGTTCTCGACATATATTTTTTTTCCACATAAAGTCAAGAGAAATATAAATAATTGAAGTCAGATACATTTAATAATATTGTATATGACATAATAATTCAATGCAAACACGATGCAGAGTTAAGCATGTTTGAGTTCAAAGTAACCGTGTTTACTGTTTCATGTTTTAAATGCATCCACCTAGTTTAACCCATTTAATACATATTTAGTTATTCATGTTATCATGTATCCCTAAACCTTATCTATTTAATTAATCATGTAAATGTGTTTATTCAGTACACTTATAACTCCATTAAACTCCCATATAAATATTTTATTTTATTGTGGTTGATGATGATGGTGGTGCATTTTATTATAATTTTTTATGGTGGTAGATTTTATTATACTTGATAGATATTATTACTTTGTTATAATTATTTTTATTAGGATTAATTTTAAATTTGAATAATGAAGCTATATTTTATTTGTGATTGTATGTATTTTAATGTAATCATATTTATTGTACTTAAAATTTTAATCATGTTAATAGTTCAAACAAATTATAAATCGTGTTGTATTATATAAAATTTAACTTGACCTATTTAATAAATGTTTTAGACTTATCATGTTGTGTTAAACATTATTAAATTAATAAGCGTTTATTTAAGATATCATTTAATTAATAATATCGTTAAGGGCAGAGTCAAGGGGATGGCATGCGGTGGTGGCCATCACCTTTTAATTTTTAATTTCTTTTATTATTATAAGTATAAAATTATATATATATATATATAGTATTATTACCTTTATAATTACCCTTTAACCACCCTTCATTCAAAATCTTGAATTTGTCTATATTCATATTTATTCGTATAACTATTAATATTTTTTTATTTATAATACGATTAAATGTTAGATTTGCATGTCTTTTAAATTCTATCAAAAAAAGTGCCAAAAGCTTTACTTTTCAGTGATATATTTTGCTTTGTCATGATATCACAAATCTCACATTAGTAAAAAATAGGTGAATCTTTGATATATAAGCGTCGGTCTTCCATTATCTATCAGGCATTTTTTTGAGTTGGGAATGTAAACCTATAATTTATAAACTTATTTAAATCTTTAAATTCTAACTATGATATGTGGTTTCAAAACAGATCAGGATCTTTATTAAAGTGGAACTTCAATAAGAGATACAATGGTCAAGATTAATGTGGATATAAGGGTCAAGGTATATCCAAACTAATGTAAAAGTCTATTTTCTCTACGGATAAATAGTCAGTGTAACAGGAACGTCGCACAATTAAATGTGATAAAACATCACGAATTCCATATCAATAAGAGGTGGGTTGGATCTTGTATATGTAAATATAGATCTTTTATCACCTATCAAGTATACTTTTTAAATTAAAAATATAAATCTATGATATATTGATTTACTTAATATCTATTTTTTGAGTTTAATCCATAACACATGACTTCTAAAATCATTATGTATAAAAAAAACAATGGTCCGTCATTTTCTGGAATCCAGACCCGGGATTTGTGTGTGGGTGAGATTGGGAGATTTGGATCAGTACAGGCCTAGAACGAGAGAGCATCTAAGGCCCAATAGAACATGGACTTGATCCACTTTTTGACTAGGCCTACAAGCTCAATATATGTTAAGAAAAAGCGTGGAATTGGTAATACACGCAATGATGACCAATCAGGCATAAAACCACAATAGTATTCAAAACATAATTCTTCCCTTGGCTGCCTGGTCGTGATAGATTTTTTTCAACTTCAAACCTTCAATAATCAAACATTAGTTGGCCGCAGTTGTTTTCTCCCATACCTTTATTAACTAGTGTTTGTTACATTGTTTCTCACATGATGTATAAAACAAAACTGATTTCAACCACGCCTATTATTATTATAGTAACTAAAGCTACGCTTCTCTATTGGCCCAAAGGGAGCAAATTTGAGTCATGGACAACCTTACAAAGATTGGTTGCTTGTAGGCACAAGATGACCTTGTCCCCTTGTTTATTCTAATCAATGGGAGGCATTAAATACCAAGGTTTTAAAACTTTTACTTCTAAACATGTTCTCTCTCTACTTTAGATGACATACATTTATCACCTACCACTGCTTTAATTGCACAATTGTTTTTCATATATAATAAAAATACATTAAATTTTGGATATAGTACAATTTTTTCAATTATACCCAACAAGAAAACTTTATTTACTCAAATTCTTCTTTTTTGCTACGAATCTAAACAATGAAAATCATCTTATTATTAACACTAGAATTTTTAAATTCTATAAATGAGCGTAAAAGATTGATATGCATATATTAAACAATAATTAAAAATTTTAATATATATATTTTTAAAATTTATTATAATTATTAAAGAAACTTGTGATACTTTTACGAAACATTGATTATTTATATTTATAAAATAATAATCCTTTATGTAAACCTAGATACACCTATTACCTTTTGTTTCGCTTATTAAATTTAGCTTGTTCACTTAATAAAAGTCAATTTAGGTGTGCCTCAAATGATTGTTAATTAGAGGACATGTTTTTTTGCTTTAGAAAATAAATATAATTGTTTAAATTAAATGTAGTGAAGTTATTTTTTAATAATTAAGTGAAAATTCAATTTTTATCGTTAATATAAATTATTTATCACATAGTTATCATTCTTGTCCCAACATAAAACTTTTGCAGAAAAATTTCATAGCCTCTTATCAACATTTATGTGCAAAGAAATAAAGCCAAAAAGAAAAGGAGAACGGGGCAAAAAAAAGGGCAAAAGAGGGAAAGAAAAGCAAAATAAGGGAATTCTAGCTGTCTGTCCAAACC